GCTGTGAGAGTTGTAATCTAGAGGTGCCAGGCTGGAGAAAGGTGCCTTGGGCTAAATTTTTGACACTCTCTCCTGGGATAGGTGGGAAAAACCTCCGGAAACCTTAAATCTTCACCTTCTTGTAAATGTCTTTCCGTGGAGATGCTCACAGGCCTGGCTCTTTCACGCCCCTTGAAGGGGGATGTCTGGAACAATTGGCACCACTGCAAAAGACATTCCAGGTTGATGGGGGGGGCAGGGGAGAGGACAGACTGAGTCTAACAAATCATATTAAAGTGCATAATCTTTTGTGAGCTGCTGCTGACATAAGCTTATGCCTTTTTTAATGCAATTTGCTACCTGGAAAAGGTTTTCCAGATTAAGGATTTTTGCTTACGATAGACTAAAACCGCTCTTCTCCTAGGTATGTCTAACCTTGGCAATTTTAAATCTTGTGGAATTCAACTCCCAGAATTTCCCAGCCAGCCATTCTGGCTGTGGGATTCTGGGAGTTGAAGTCTGTGGGTCTTAAACTCGCCAACGTTGGAGACCCCCATCCTAGAGCGTCTTCAGGTTGATGACTCTCCGAGCAGCCCTATAATTTCCCTCTCGACTTTCAAGACCAGAGCTGAGCATATACAATGAATCCATGTGACAGATGGCAGGAGAGGAACCATCTATTTGCTATCAGCTATGAAATACTGTAGGACATTGTGTTGGCTACAGACTCATTCTTTGTGCTGAAGAATACACAAAGCAGGGATCTGGCCAATTTCTCCGTAAACTATGCAACTGGGTCACATTGATACGCTTTGGTTGGCATAAAATTGCCTCCACTTCTATTTTTGCCAACTAAGGCAACCTCAGACTATGGTTGGGGAAGGAGATAATCTTGATTTTACACTTCTCGTCATGGAAACCAAGTAAGTATGGTTTATTATTATAATTTTTTAACTCGTCAATCTTCAGGGTACCATCAGAATACAGAATCCCAGAGTTGGGAGGGTCCCTGGAGGTCTTCTACTCCACCCCCCTGCTCAAGCAGGAGACCCCCTCCCATTTGAGACAGGAGGCTGTCCAGACTCTTCCTAAAAGCCTCCAGGGATGGAGCACCCACAACTTCTGATGGCAAGGAGTTCCATTGGTCAATTGTGCTCACTGTTAGGAAGTTTCTCCTTAGTTCCAGGTTGCTTCTATACTTGATTAGTTTCCATCCGTTGCTTCTTCTCCTGCCTTCTGGTGTTTTGGAGAATAGCTTGATCCCCCTCTTCTTCGTAGGAGCCCCTCAAGTATTGGAAGATGCTATCGTGTCTCCCTTAGTCCTTTTCTCTAGACTAGCCAAACCCAGTTCCTGCAATTGTTCTTCATAGATTTTAGTCTCCAGGCCTTTAATCATCTTAGCTGCCTTTCTCTGCCCTTTTTTTCAAATCTCAACATCTTTTTTATAAAGCGGTGACCAAAACTGGATGCAGTATTCCAGATGTCATCTGGAAGACCACACCTGCTGAAACCAAATCTGAATATATATATATATTTTAGCTTCCTCCAGTTTTTCAGCATGAGACTTCAGCCAAATGCAACCCCTGCGGTTTCAATCCTGAGCCTGCTTATTTCCTTCACCTTCTTTCCTGGTCTTCCCAAAATGTTCCCTGCCAGTGGAGTTTCCTGTTACAGAGCAGGGACTGAGGGACGGAAGAGGGAAGAGACCGGCAGGATGATGGACTTCTTTGTTGTGGCATAAGGGCAGCCTGATGACCGGATTCAGGAGAGGAAGGACATCCAGAGCAGCTGCTGTGTGGGGATGCTGAAAAGAGAGGCAGCATTCTATCTATTTGGGCTTCGTGTCTTTGGGAGAAGAGAGGACGTGTTCAGCTGGAATATCTTCTTCCTTCTATTCAAGTTCACCACTCTCCATTTGGTTCCCTGAAATTTTTGAAGAGTGTTTGTTCTGCATCTCTTGATCTTCTTTTTCCTGGGCTACACATTCTCCATTTCTTTCTCTCGCTGTCTTCATAAGACTTGGCTTCTAGAAAGCCGCTTGATCATCCTTGATGTTCTTCTTCTCTGGACCCACCTTTGTTTTTCTGGATCCATCTTCAGCCATGATGTCTACTCTGGAAAGAAGAGAAGAGCAAGAAATGGATTCCCAAGATTTAGAGGCTGTCCTTCCCTTGGGACAACCTAGCCTGGCCTCTGCCTTTTTTGCCATTCCTGGCAGTTGGCCTATATTAATTCCAAGTCACCTTTTCCTCATCCTGGACCTCTGCCCTTGACTTGTTCCTTTGCTGCTGTTCCATTTCATTGGCTTATTTTCAGCTCTTTTCTGTGCCTCCTCCAGATCTTTCTGAATTTTATTCCTGCCACGCAGGCTTCTGTCACATCCCTTCCAAGTTACGATGTTGAAGAGTGGAAGACCAGGGTTGGTCCTCAGGATTGGTCCTCTTGATAAGGTCTAGGGCAGAGGTCTCCAAACTTGACAAGTTTAAGGCTGGCTGGAGAATTCTGGGAGTTGAAGTCCCCAAGCCTTAAAGATGCCAAGTTTGGGGGGGGGGCTGGTCTAGGACAATTTGCCCCAGCTGACTCACTGCGAGGATAATTCATCGCAGGGCAATTCAACAGGGGACACAACTGAAGAAAAAGACATGTGGATTGCAGTGGGCCTTGTCTTGCTTTATGTTTGAACCTTCTTGAGTCTGGAGTGAGCTGCAATTCACTTGTCCCTCTCTTGAATTATCCCATGTAAAATTGTCTTGCAATGAGTTGTCCTCGTAGCAAGTTGACTTCAGGAAGTTGGCCAGGATGAGTCGGTCAGGGCGACTCTGCTTGATATGGCTCTCCAATTGAAGGATTAGCTATTCTTAAGTACTCTTGAAGTTTGTTTGTTTTTAAACCAGCTACGTATCTATTTAATGTCGTACCATCCACCTACATTTAAGTGTTCCCAATTAGCAGCACTAATTACGAGGTAGAGTTTTTGGTTGGTTCAAGTATTTGGATCGTGTTCCCTAAGACTCCAATTTACAGCATTGTGTTAGGGAATCTCCTAATTAAAAAAGTGAGAGAAGAGTGATTGACTTCATTGATTGGTGATTGATTGATTTAAAAGATCTGTATGGCCATCTTCAGTAATTCTGGGTGGCTCACAGTAATGAGAATAACAATAAATAAAGCAATAAAAACCGCGAAACAATAAAAAGTTGTGAAATAAACTCATTCCTGACAAATCCATGCCAATTTTTAGTAATCACTGTATCGTTTTAAAGATACTTTGGAATAACCATTTCATGATCTGTGCAGGAATCTTCTTAAGACGTTGACTTCAGACTGACTGGTCTGCAGATCCTCCTTTTGGAGATAAAGTGACGGTTGCTTTTCTTGAATCATCCGGCATTTCGACGTTTGCCCAGGACCTTCTCAAAGATCAGAGGCAAAGGCAGGTCCAGGAGTCAGCTGGTTCCTTCACCAGGCTGCATTTTCTCCTGGTTGTGAAGCTCTAAACGGAGTTAAAACTAAAGAAACGTCCTTGGTCGTATTTCTGTCAGGCTTCGGTCCTGCTCTTGGTACCCTTTCCCGCTCAAAGGCTTCCTGGCTGGAGAAGCGTGAGCCAAGCCCTGCCTTTTCCCGCCTCTTCCCATATTGTCTTTCTTCCCCGAAGAGCAGCAAAGATTCAGAGTGCAATATTCTTTCTTCACTCAGATTTTCTGAGATCTCCTGAACCAGGCCTGGCTCGTCTGCCATCTTCCCTCTTTTCATTTCAAGAAGTTGGGGGAAAAAATGGTTTTTCTATTCGGCCTTTTATGTGTATCCACTTGCGTATCTTCCAAACAGCTCCAGAAGTTGTGGATGCTCCGTCCCTGGAGGTTTTTAAAAAGGGGTGGGACAGCCACTTTTCTGGCATGGTCTAGGGTCCCCTGCTTGAGTAGGGGGTTGGTCTAAATGACCTCCAAGGTCCCTTTCCCACTCTGTTATTCTCTTAATTGAATCAGTGGGACGGCTTCCCTCCAGAGATTGTGGGGGATCCATCCCTGGAGACTTTCAAGAAGAGACTGGAGAGCCACTTGTCTGGCACGGTCCAGGGTCTCCCGCCTGAGCAGGGGGTTGGACTAGATGACCTCCAAGGTCCCTTCCAACTCTGGTATTCTGGTAATTAATCAATGGAAAGGCTTGCCTCCAAAAGTCGTGGGTGATCCATCCTGGGAGGTTTTCAAAAATTGACTGACAGCCACCTGTCTGAAATTGCATAGAGCAGGGGGTTAGACTAGAAGACCTCCAAGGTCCCTTCCAACTCTGGTCTTTCGCTGGTTCTTGTCTTGGAAAAGGGATGTTTTCCCTCCCAAGGAGGCGCAAATGAGCAGGACTGAGGAGGTGTTGGGAACAGGGCGGCTGCCTTGCTGGGGGAGGAAGGGCCCAGGGAAGGGACGACCCAACAGCTTCTCTGCCCCTTTGGTCCTGCTGCTCTCCCCAGGGACCTCCCCTGTTCTTGGGGTCTGCGGTGGGTGGGAATAAGGCAACTGCCGGAAGTGGAGGGGGAATCCCCCCCAGGCTTCCTGAAGAAGCTTCTGCTCCACGCAAGGGGGAACCCAGAGGCAAGAGGAACGCTCCTGCCAGCATCCTCCTCTCGTGGTCTCTGGGTTCCCCGTGCCTGTGGTAGCCCAACCCAGCTGGAGCGTCCCCGTCTGAGGACCGACGCAGCCCCTGGTCCTGCAGAGCCCCCCCCCCCCAATCGTCTTTGGGCGTCCGCTGAAGTTCAGTGCCAGCTGGGGGGGGGGCTGCGGCAGGTGCCCCTCCTCCTCCTCCTCCCCAAAGGGCGCGCCAGGCGCTGCTCTCCGGGAGGGAAGGACGAGGCTGCCCGGGAAGAGCTCCGCGGGACTCGTACTGTCCTAGCGGGGGGGGGGGGGCGGGGCGGCGGGGGGCGGCGGCGGCGGGGGGGGTGCGGGGGGGCCCGGCCGGCGAGTCCAAGGGCGCCGGAGCCGCTGGCTGCGCTGACCGGCCGCGCCGCGTGTGTCTCGGCAGGGGCAGCCATGGGGGTGCTGATGTCCCGGCGGCAGACGGTGGAGCAGGTGCAGAAGGTCAGCCTGGCCGTCTCGGCCTTCAAGGACGGGCTCCGGGAACGGCCCGCCGCCAAGCGCCCGGCCGAGGGCGCCGCCAGCCGCCGCGGGACCCTGGAAGAGCACGCCGTGCGGGAGCTCCGCGAGGAGGAGGAGGAGGAGGAGGCGGCGCCGGGGGGAGCCTCCCGGCCCGGGGGCGGCGGGACTCGGAGCGCCGCCTGGGCGAGGCTGCGGGACGGGCGCGGCGTGGAACCCGAAGACCTGGAGCGGCCTGGCCGCTTCGTGCCCCCGGCCCTGGTCCGCCCCGTCCGGCCGCCGCGCCAGGAGGAGGATGAGCGGCTGGAGATCAGCCTGGAGCAGCGCGAGCAGGTGAGCTCCCCACCAACCTTTCCAGGGGGGGGGGGGCAGGGAGGGCAGCGGTTCCTGGGACCGACCCACAATCGGAGGAGCGACCAAATCAAGTGGGCGGGGCCGTCCTGCACCTGCTGGTGCCAGGCCCCGCCCCCTCCTGCCCAGGTGTCCTTAGGAACCCGTTTCCCACAAGGGAGGGGGGGTCAGCCAGCAAAGACAGGTAATGGGTCTCCTGCTTGGGCGGGGGGGTTGGACTAGATGACCTCCAAGGTCCCTTCCAAGTCTGGGTCTCTGTTAACGGGGAGCGTAAGTGAACAACCCTGGGAGTTTTCAGGGTCCCTGAGAGCCAGATCCTAGTCAACCCACCCGAGACTGGATTTTCAGACACAGAGAGAGAGAGAGAGAGAGATTTGACCTCGGAAGTTGTGGGAGCTTCATCCCTGCAGGCCTTCAAGAAGAGATTGGACTGCCCATCTGTCAGAAACGGTGTAGGGTCTCCTGCTTGGGCGGGGGGTTGGACTAGATGACCCGCAAGGTCCCTTCCAACTCTGTTAATCTAAGTCAATCGAAGACACCCCCGATGACACCCATTGGCTGCCATCCCTATAAGAACCAGCAACGATTCCCAGAGCTGCGGGCAGGAGACCCCCCCCCCTTCTTCGCTTGGCCTGGGTCTTCTTACATTTCGGGCAAGGGAAGGCCTCTGCGGGGCAGCCCTGGGCCAGACCCTCTCCTCCCCCCAGACTGGGCAGCTTCCCAAAGAGGGGAGGGGGCGGCCTGCGCCAGCCCCTCCCTTGTTTCCTTGGTGCCCCTTTCAGCCCCTCCCCCAGTTCGGTCGTCTCTCCCTTAAGGCGCAGCACCCGGAACCCAAGAGCACCGACCGAGCCGTGGCCTGGCCGCTAATGTGCATCCGGCGTGCATCTTCCTTTCTTTTTGCGAGGGGATCCCAGGCGTGTGATTTCCCCCTTCGGGTAACGCAGCCCGGAACCTGGTTGCCGTTCCCATCATTGTCCTTCAGGGCTTCAAAGTCACTTCGCAGTCCCCGCAGCGATGCAGAGATGCTGCCGGCCTGCATCCCTTATATGTGAGGGGGGCGTGTCTTCGGCTTAGGACCAGTGGAGCCTTAGTCAAGGAGCCCCACATTTCCAAGCGAGATGAATTCCACCCCCCAACATCCCGGTTTTATGACCTTCCTTGCTCTGGCCTTCCTGAAGTGAATCTCTGCAGTTGTTGAGACGTTTGTGAGACAAGCCTGGTCTCCCCATTCACTCTGCTCCTCGGAAGGCCACAAAAGGGGGTCATGTGACCCCCAGGACCCTGGCACTGCCGTGAGTGTGTTGCCAAGCGTCCGAATGGGGGTGATCGTGGGGATGCGGCAGTGGCTGGAAGGGTGAAATGAAGAGAAGAAGAGAAGAGAAGAATAAAATATGGAATAGAATAAGAACGGAACGGAACAGAACAGAACATAGAAGAGAACAGAACAGAATAGAATATAGAAAAGGAATAGAATAGAATAGAATAGAATAGAATAGAATAGAATAGAATAGAATAGAATAGAATAGAATAGAATAGAATTAGAATTAATAGAATAGAATGGAATAGAACAGAAAATAGAATAGAAGAGGAAAGAATAGAACAGAATAGGATTCAGAATATAGAGGATAGAAATAGACTAGACTAGACTAGACTAGACTAGACTAGACTAGACTAGAATAGAATAGAATAGAATAGAATAGAAA